ATGACCTGATAAACAGGACAAGTCTGCCCCCTGTGGGCTGGGCCTGGAAGAGTGGGCTGACCTGCTGTGGGTCTGTGGAGGGCAGGAGTAGGCAGATCACATCCAGACTCAGATGGTCCCATTTCTCATCAAATATTCCCAGACCTCTGTTTTCACAGATGCAGCAGTGTCTGCTTAGTCTTCAGGAAGTGGTGGATCAGAAGAATTACTGACACAAACATTTGACTCTCATAGAAAAAACAAAAACTACAAGTAGTGAGAATGTTTATGAGTGTGTATGTGAGTCCCTGGGGTGTGCTCATGCCCAGGTGAGAAGAAAGTATTAAGTCACTGTGACTGAAAATACCCACTGGCCCTTGTGGAGATCATTGGAGACAACGCTACCTGCCTCTAGAAGCCCCAGATACACAGGGTTAAGCACCGCCTGTAAATCAAAAGCTTTCAAACCCACCAGCCTTTCCGTGGGAGCAAGGTTTACAGAATTGGAAACACTGTGGGAAAGTTATACTCAGTCCTGTAGGGTGGCTGTGAACTGGAATCAACTTGACTGCAACAGTTTATAGCTGATGTGTAGACTGTGTTAAAATTAGTGTCAGAGACCTAGCAGAGAATAGCAATTCATGAATGCACTGATAAGAGATAAAGATTTATGTGAGGTCATGTTGAGGGCTAGCTGGGATGAACTTGCTGAGAGGAACAAGCCACCATGATGAAAGAGAGAATGAAGAGCCAGTGAACGGTTTTACTTTGATGATGGTTCTCTTCCCTCTGTAGCAGCTGATAAGAAAACTAAGAATGGGGTCAGAGCTTCAGGAATGAAGGGGCCAAGTACTTGGGAAGAATTAAGAGTTATTGTCAGAGTCACTGTAAAGCACTGAAGCCTGCACAGTACAGAAACATATAACAGTGTCAAGGTAAGGTTCAGGTCAGTTGAATTTGTTCTTAATGAATAGTTATGGCCAAAGAAGCAGAGAATTGGCCTCTGGGGCCCTCCTGGTCATTCAGAAGAGGATTCAAGGAGAAATGTGTCTCCTCTCCTCCAACCCATGTTTCCAGCTGTATGTGCCACTTGGGGCTGAATTCACCATGCAGATATTACGGGAATCAACACAGGAGTGAAGCTGGGATTCTAGGTATATCAGAGATAAGATTAGGAACCAAATTACCCAGGCACATGCATCACTGACTTCACCAAGCTTAGAGGCACTCACTTCAGAGCTTCCTGTTTCATTAGATTCTAAATATCCTCATTGTTTAGGCACTTCAATTTGTTTCTACTTCACTTTTGCCTCAGAAAGCCAAATTGGATAATCGGTCAATAGACTATATCAGGAAAATGTTTAACAGCAAGACAACCAGCTGAGTTCACGGTGAAGCCCTGGTGAGCGAGGTGTGGAAAGGAGACATAGATGAACAGCACAATGGGTCTCGGGGAGGAGGATCCCTCACTGAGGACATCAAGGATGGAGTGATTTCCATGACCGCTGGGCCTGGAGTGAGATCACATGGATGAGAGGCAGCAGGGCCGGATGCCCTGGGAAGAAAATGCACAGACGTTCCATCACTAGCATGGGGAGAATGGGTAAGACAGCAGGTCACATGAACAGGGGTCACCTGG